TTAGGATACACCAAAGTCATTTATTGGGTAAATAGTTCACAGAATTGTTCAGGAGCTAGTGTGTAAGTGTACTGTGTTATACTCTCCTTCAGATGTTTGATAATGGGAGGGGTTGCTGCCTGAAGAAGAAGAAGAAGAAGAAGAAGAAGACGAAGAAGAAGAAGAAGAAGAAGAAGAAGAAGAAGAAGAAGAAGAAGAAGAAGAAGATCTCCTCCTAGTCTCCCCTTCTTATAGGGTATGGGATGACAGTTTCTTTGTTATTGAACCATAAAAAATATGGATGAAGCAATATGTAGGTAATTTTTTTCAGTCGAGTCTTGGTGACTATAGCTATACTTCTATGTCATTAAATTGCATAAAGTGCCGTAGTAACTGAATTAGATCTGTTAATCTCTGATCAGTTACATCAGAGTCACTTATTATTTTATGAGAGAACAAGATCAAGCCATTGTCGGTTATGAAACACTGACCCTAGGTCATCTAGATCAGTGGTATTCAAAGTCGGGGTCGTGACCCCTAGTGGGATCGCGGGGGAGCTTCAGTGGAGTAATTTTTTTGTGTATTTTTTCTTACAAAATATAAAGATTACAGATTATTGTATGAGACAATATACAAACGTTTTTAAGAAAGATAGTTTTAAAAATAAAATTTTATTGAGTAAATGTATTTACAGTATTGGTTTCTTTTCATTTTGATAAGAGATGAAAAAAAGAGATGCAATAAATTGAAGGTTATTTGTTGATGTAAAAATTGAAACGTACCGATTTTAGGTTGTGTCAATAGATTTGGGGTGGGGTCGCGAGAAAATCTTGGGAAGAAAATGGGGTCCCCAGAAATCCTGCCGGGAAAAAATGGGGTCCCCGCTGAAAAAGTTTGAATACCACTGATCTAGATTGAACACTGGTTACGTCACCGACACCAGGAGTCACCCACCGTGGTTTCAGATTCTCATTAAGAATTCATCAGTGTGGCTGGCTGGACTATGTAACCTTGGCCGGTGTATTAGAAGAGATGAATCATAAACATTTTAAAGGATCAGGATGATTGCAATAAACTATAATTATCACACACACACACACACACACACACACACACACTGAAAGTGGAGAAATCTTAGCCTGATCTTCGTCATCATTTCCTTTCCTTGCTGAAAATATCTCACATTTTCTCCCCTGGCCACTGAGGAGAGGGTAATGGTATCTTATACCTCAATATGCTGCTGGGACCATTCTGGGTATTTCTTGTCTTATTACACTCTCTTATTTTATTATTATTATTTAAAAACATGGTTTAAAGGGTTCCAAAAAGGTTATTTGGCTGTCCCCATAGCATAACCCTTTCTGGTTCCAGGTAGAACCCTTTTGGGTTCCATATAGAACCCTTTCTACAGAGGGTTCTACATGGAACCAAAAGGGTTCTACCAGCAACCAAAAATGGTTATTCAAAGGGTTCTCCTATAGGGACAGCCGAAGAACCCTTTAAGGTTCTCGATAGCACCTTTTTTTTCTAAGAGTATAGATAACTTATCACTGTAAACATCTTCTCTCTCTGTGTGAGAGAGAAATCTGGCCAGTCTCGCTGTCATCCGTGTGCATAGGTAGCTTTATCAAATTAGATATCAGTGCCTGTATGTTGGTGTTCTTTGAGGCCATGGTGCAGTGTAGGGGTGCAAGCAAGGCCATGGGAGAGTGAGACCATTGATGTGATTATCCTCTGAAGATTCACCCAAAGAGCGAGGTCAGGAGAGGTTGCAAGGGCTATGTGTGTGTGTGTGTGTGTACGTGTACTGAAGTGCTCTGTATGTCACTGTGTTGTCTATCAGGTCAACCAAGAGGTCCACATCACTACTTGAGGACAGGCCGAGGCTCATTAGGTAAACCCACAGGTGGATCTTCTGCTTTCAAGGACTGAAAAAGCAACTCCCCCAGGCAGCCTCTACCAATAAAAAATAAATAATCTTTGAACCATGGAATATGAAGAGAAGACCTGACTGGTTTGCTACAGCGAGTGTGTCACTGTCTGTCAGAGGAAATGTCGCAGCATGTGCCTGTCTCTCAAAATTAAAACACATCTAATGTGATGATTGAGCTGCTGCTAGTACTGTGAAATAAGGACACAGAGAGATAGATATTTCATGCTTTGTTTTTTAATTACTTCATAGAAAAAGTATTTCAGATTTTCAGATACTTGAACACAATATACAATATTATACCATACATTGTGTGAAACATTGAATATGTCCGCCTGCGACTGTAACGCAGTAGGTAGGTATTCAACAATCCCACCTCTCATGCAGATAGTGCTAAGTCTGGCTAGTCATTTGGAAACAACTCGGACCAAAAGCTTGAACATAGATTAACAATGTTATACTGATGACAAATTTGAATTTCAAAACTGCTAACAAGTTTTGGTCAGATAGAAATAGTTCACATTAGCACGCTCAATTACAAGAAGATCACATTTTGGTAACGATTCATCACGTTGGTGCTCAGAGATATTGTAGCATGCCACCCATAAATCCCTTGAACTACTTTACATATAAGTAAGTGTGAGGTGCAAAGAAGAAGACACTTGGTTCTGTGTTTGTCTCTCTTTCTGTTATTTCTGTCTGCTGTCATTGAACCAGTAGATCTGAACCCCAAATCAGCAATCTGCATTCAAAATACTGTATACAGAGGAGTCTGGTTACTAGCCTACTACAAGCTGCTCAGAGAGTCTTGATTTTTAGGTCTGATATTGATACCAAGCCTAGTGATAGACTACAGTATAAAAGCTTGTGTTCTCCACAGCTGTCCTGTATTTTAGCTCATCCCAGGTCTCTGTCGTTGAACATATCCTCTATGCGTTGTCAACCTATAGGTTGTGTATATGTCTCTTTAGCTGTTGCTCAGGGCACTCAAACATTTGTGTGAATATATTTACTTATGATATAATATAAAAAACAAAACAATATTATAATACAGAATATAAAAGGACTCCGACACAGAGCCTTGAACAAGTCAGACACCACCACTTCCAGGTAATGCAAGTGCATATACATTTAAATAGATACACTGACTGAAACAGTATTCTTATGTACAGCTGAAAGTAATAAATACACTGTTATAAACAGCAAAGGACCAACTAGTGACAAACAGGAATAGGTGGAGTCAGGTGAGGCCAGGTGGCAAAGGCTACACGGACGCACACACACACACACACTCTCACAAACACACTTTCTGATACTCGTACACACACACTCATTGACGCACACGATTGCCATGTAAGTCTGCTGGAGTGAGGGTATAGTAAATAAGGTAGTTGAAGTACCTTTGAGTATGTCAGTAAACCTAAGGGAATAATGGAGGATTGGTGATATCTGAAAACCAGTCATGGAGGCCTATAAGGGAAAATTTGCCTAGCAGATTTTCAGGGGTGGATGGTTTTAATGCTGACCCACAGTTACAGTGAATTACACTGCCTTTTGGTTTGTTATCTCTGTCACATAATCTCTAGATAGCCTTCTGTGGGTTATCATCCTCTTGTTCTCAAAATAAGTATTTTTCTCCTCTGGTTTGGTTTTTGTAGCAGACACTCTACAGTTTGTAAGTGCCAAATCTATTCTGAAGATCAAATCCTGATAAACACCTCGGGCCGTCCAGGAAATGTGATACAGTTAGCGGGAAGTGAAGAGAAAAAAGAATGTTTCGATTGACGTCAATGGGCAGAAGCAGCACTCCCTTCAGTTATTTATTTTTAAGTGGAGGAAGAAATAGCTGACCTGATTGTTTTAGGGGTCAGATTCACAGAGCCAGGGGTTTGTAAAAAACATGTGGATAACAATACAGCTAACCAAGGTGTGACTGGGCTCCTACACATGCAGCCGCCTAGCCACCTTCCATCATCTGGTCGGGTCCTGATTCTACAGGGCCGGGGGGTCCTTCGTTGATTTGTTACATCATCAGAACCAGTTGGGTTCTGGAATCATTTGGGTCAACAGGATTAATAGACAACAGCTGGATACCTCGAGATGGAGCTAGAAATAGACTTTTAACTTGAAGTTAAATATTAGTCTGAGTATTATCAGGATTTGAGCCATGAGGGTAGTAGAGAGAGGGGGGGGGTCATTCAAGGAGTATGAGGGGAGAAATGGGTATAACTGTTTTTTTGGAGTTTGAGTGATCTATCTGCCTACCGTTCATCTACAGTGAGGTCAGACACATGAAGCAACAATCTAGACATGTAACATGAATCATGATTTCCATAGAGAAACATATATGTTGTGCTCGGATTGAAATGCTATCTTATTATGGGAAGTAATGTTTTAAGTATTTGATGAGTTTGTCCAAGAATTGTTTGTCTAAGTTAGTTTGGATTTCTTCTATTGCCCAATACTAGTAAGGAAGACTGTTCTCTTTGTCTGAGATATAAAAAATAATTTTGCTCTTGAGCTTTCGGATAACTCTTTAGAAAAAAAAAACATTTCACGTACATACAAAGTCTGTTCAATAAATAAAAATAAAAGATTAAAAAGACAATAGTAAAAAAGGCACACGAAAGTATTTTGACAAATGGTACAGGAAAAAAGTAAACGTTTTTCTCTCTCTATACAAACACATTAGTCAGTAGTTCATATGCTACCTCTTGACGTCCCATTTTTCGTAAAAAAGTCACAAGGTACAAAACTTCTCTCAGTAGTAGTGTCAACATTTCAGATGCCAGTCTGGATGGAAAAACAACCGTTTCCCAGATTAGCCCAAGTCCTTCAATTCCTCGGAGGCCTGTCCGTTCCGTCATGTCCAAAATGTTTGCAGCATTTTTCCTGAGAACATTGTAGCCACCCCACTGAAACTGTCCCTCTGTCGCCGGCTCCTAACGCAAGTGCAAGGATAGGGGGGGTTAAACTGACGCCCCATCCGGGCTCAAGCTAAGCCCACCGTGGGCTTGTTAAAAAGCACAGCTGCAGGATTTCTCCTGTTTAAAACATGAAACCAACCGCCATCGCGGTGCAGCAGAGCCCATTATGTGTCTGTGGGTGATGCATCGTGGGTAATGATTTCTATGGACGACGTGGGCTCCATGGATTCCTCTGGGTCCTGACAGTCTGAGTAGTCTACCGGAGACCGAGACGCCTCCCCCAGACTATCCTCTTCCTCCTCATCATCCCCCTGGCTCTGTTCATCTTTCTCTGTACCCTCAGAGTCCTCCTCCTCCAGGGTGAGTTCAAACTGGAACTTGTCTCCCCCCTGGCCCCCTTCGCCTCCCTCCTGATCCCCCTGCTCTGTGGCCCAAGGAGGAGAGGGGCTCTGGGGGATCATGCTCTGGTACCAGTTCCTGTTGTCCTCCAGAGTGTCCAGGATGTCCTGGGCATCAGGGTGAACCAGGTCAGCCCAAGTCTCCCACAGAGGGTGGACAATGTAATCTATGAAACCCACCTGGAGAGAGGAGAGGGGAAAAAGGGGTGAGTCAGGAGTCGGTGTGTATGCTTGAGTGCTATGTGTGTATGTGTGTCTAATATCATACCTGACTTTTCTCTACTGAAGCGGTGTGTTTGTCACACATAGGGCTGATCTCCATGCCTCTCTCCCTCTCTCTGTCTCCCTGGTGGAAGAACTCATCCATGATGCGGTCGGTCCACTGACGGTAGAGCTCCAGAGACTTGGTAGGGTTACTCAGATCTGCACAGTGAACCATGTTCCTCAGAACCTGATGGAGAGAAGGATGGGGAGAATAACTGTTAGAGAGGGAGAAGTAGAAGGAGGGAGTGATATGGAGTGATAGGGGAGAAAGAGAGGTGAAGAAAGATTGATTTGAGGCAATGAACAGGGTTGGAGAGAGGGAGGAGGCAGATGAAGATGGAGTGAAGGAGCAGAGGTCATCCCAGCGGGAGGCTATCTTAACGATGTTTCTGGAAGTCCAGACACTAATTACAGCTATTACAATGAAAATAGGTAGAGGAGAAGGGTCTCGAAGAGATAGAATGATGATGACGAAGATAAATCTACCTGTATTCTGTCTGTGTAGTTGTCCAGCAGCAGGACCCCAGAGCTGGTCACCTTCTTGGTTTCCACCATGGTCTTCAGGTCCGCTAACAGACTCATGTGCTTGGACATGTCAGTGGCCAGGACCATGTCGATGACCATCTTCCTCAGACTCTGCCTCTGCTTCTTGGTCAGGTTCTGGAAGATGTCACAGTTGTCCTCCTGGAGCAGCTTGAAGCCCACAGCCAGGTGGTGGTTCTCTAAGACAGACTCATCGTTGTACATCAGGGCCAGCTCAGAGTCTGAGGAAGATAAAAGAGAATGAGTCACTTGTTCAACACTACATTGATGAATATGGATATAGCTATACATTATCTATACATTATCTATACATTATTCCCAGTAGAGGTATGCAGTAACAGGTGTAGGAGAGAGACCCACTGGTATTGATGAGGAACTGGTTGGACACCCCCGGGTGGTCGACATCATGGATGGCTGCAGCAAAGATGGCCGCCAAGATCTCCAGATCGCTGAAGACCGCCTGTGTGAAAGAGAGAGGGTCCGGGGTTAAGAATTTCTCAAGAGAAAAACTCAAACAACAGCAACAGAGAACAGCTCATCTCAGTGCAGCCCACTCTCATTGATTCCAATGGCTCAGTTTGCGCTATCGCTAACATCCAACATAGCGTAAACACTTCTCAGAGCCAGATGAGTGCTGTACTGGCCTACATTAGCGAGATGGGTAGCTTATGTTAACCTTGTCTCTGTCTCTCTACCGGCACCCAGCCATAGTGGTTTGACACTGGGTATGCTGGCTGCAAGAGCAGGGCCATAAACATGATGGATGGAGGGATGGGGTGAGTGTACGAAAAGAAGAGAGCGGCTTGTGACGCGTTGAGGCCTGGGTCATGCTGTTAGACTGCGTCATGGATGAGGTTCCACTGTATTTATAGAACCACGGAGGGAACGAAGCTGTGAGAACGAACAGATTGTGTGGCGGGAGGGAGAGAGGGAGTGAGGGAGGGGGGCAAGGAGAGAGGGAGAGAGGGAAGAAAACGAATGGTTTATGTCTAGAGGTTGAGGGAAGACGACTTTGGGAGAATGCAAGGGAAGGTGTTCACGTTTGAATTAAAAAACCTGGGGAAGACTTACAGTACGATAGGATTCATAGGTTGGGGTGAGAGTAAGGTGAGGGCATACTAAGGTGGAGTTCTATGAGCTCAGATGGGTGTGGGATAAGGGTTGGTGAGGTAATGGTAGGGTGTGGGGCTCTGATTTTGAGGGATGTGTGAAGTAAGTAAGAGTCTAGTGTCGTTGACTTACATCGAGGGCAGGGGTGGAGAGTAGGATGTGTGTGGACTGGGCCACGTCTGCCGCGTGGAGGCTGTTGTGGTAGGTCACGTCTCCATGGTAGTGGTCCTCCAGGGTCATCATATACGCCACAAACGTATCTGTCGGGATCTTAAATGTCTTCAGCAGGTCTCTCTCCTAAAGGGGACACAAGGATATGAGTTAGTACTGTTTTAGGTACAAAATGTACAGCTATAACATATTGTGTGTGTGTGTGTGTGAGTGTGTGCCTGCATTGCATGCATATGTGAGCATGCGGGTGTGTGTGTGTGTGTGTGTGTGTGTGTGTGTGTGTGTGTGTGTGTGTGTGTGTGTGTGTGTGTGTAGAAGTGCATAGCCAGTTATAAATACCTGGAAGATGGCGTACATGATACAGGTAAGAGGTCTATGTTGAGAGTACTCTGACACGGTAAAGATGTTCAATCCCCACTTATTCAGATCCTCCAGTTCCTTGGAGAGCATGTCCTCCTTGTCCGTCTTGACCCCGAAGCGTGAGATGGAGGAGTTGGAGAGGGAGGGTCCATGAGAGACCTTCTTCACTCCGCTGATCTGAGTCATCAGCTGCTGCTGCTTCTTCCTCTCCCGACCAGCCTTCTCCTTGGGCGTCACAGACGGCATGTCCATGTCGTTCTGTTTGTCTGGAGAGGAGAGAGCGAGAGAGAGAACAGGGGGGTTAGGACACTCCGTGTCATTCTGTGTGTGTGGGGGTGTGTGTGTGTGTGTTTGTGTGTATGATTACAGAGAGAAGGATGAAAGAGGAGGGAAAAGGGAGTTAGATGACCCGTTCACTTTCACTTTCTCACCAGAGAACATGCAGTTTAGTAATGTCATTACAATGAACTCTGACTGTGCTGCTGTGTAGACTGTTTGTTTGAAATGGGTCCCAGGTGTACTGTTCTGGATGCACCTGCAGAGGCTAAAAGGAAAGAATAGACTCATTCATTCATCTCGTTCTCCTTCCTCCCTCACCCTCTGAATCTCCTGCTATGTCTCCTCTGTAATACTTTCTCTCTCTCTAAAAACAAGTGCTCTCCGCAGCTCTGATCCTGCTCTCTTGACTCAAAGGTCATACATTGGTAATACCACAGAGACAATCCCATTGAGAAGCAAGGGGTAAATAACGTACAGAATGTTCCACATGTCACACAGAATGTACCATGCACATCTCTCAGAGGTGTTTTTATATCTCTAAGGCCAGGGAGGGGTGCTGTATATCTATGCCCCCCTCCCACCCAGTGGTCTTATCCCCACATGTTTGAGATATCACATGTTCTAGTGGTGTGGTATAGCTCTTTACTCTATGCACCCACTCCTCTGCAGTCAAACCTCTCATAGCTGAACTATCCTGCCTCCCTTCGCTGAGAGTTATTCAATTACCACTGCTGTAATTCAAATAATCACTCTACCCCCCCCCCCCCCCCCCCCCCCTCCCCCCTATTATGGGTTTTATACGGACCCATAATGGAAAAAGGTAACCTGGTTTTATAAGGACACAGCAGGTCACTTCCTCCATAAAGGGCAGAGTGTGTGTTTATTAGAGTGTGTTGCTGATGAAGCTGTATCGTTTGATATGTGGCCTCTGTCTGTCTGTCGGGAAGTGGTTTTGCTAATTCACCGTTTTCCACGCAGGTGGAGTGTTAAAGTGACCTCTTTCCCCTGAGGGCCAGACTAGACTGTCACGTCTCTCTCTCTCCCCCTTTCCTATCTCCCGCTTCCCTCTCTCTCTCTCTCTTTTTTTCACAAGTTTATTCTTCTGAAATGCTGAATCACCTCCAGCCTGTTCCATATTACGCTCTCAGTTAAAGTCAGATGCCAGAGAGAGAGAGAGAGAGCGAGAGAGAGAGAGAGAGAGAGAGAGAGAGAGAGAGAGAGAGAGAGAGAGAGAGAGAGAGAGAGAGATGGAGAGAGATATGGAGAGCGATATGGAGAGAGATATGGAGAGAGAAAGAGCATGTGTGGGGGTGGATTTGGGCTTTTAAATTCCCTTAACGAGTTCCGCCTGGCAGAGCCCTGTCCGTCAGGGTGTTATGGGATGAGTGGAGTGGACAGCTGTGGAGGAGAGGAGCCAGTGCACGTGAATGGCCCTACCACACACACCATCATCTCCAACCCACAGTCCCTCAGGTATGAGCTGCCCAATATGATGCACTCACTTATAAAGGGATCAACCAGAGGATTAACAAGGCATCCCAGGATGACTTTACAATATGAACAACAATTTGGGTGGAAAATGGTGTGTGTGTTGTAGAGAGGGAGACTTGAATAAGGCAGCCATAAATGTCAACCATTTTATCCCCTTGCCTTTGTTTTCTAAAGAAACAATGAGCTGTAATATAATTATAAATATAATTCCAATCAATGGTCAGCGATGAGCTCAGGACAAACTACCAGCTGTCTGTCTGCTTTCCTCTGCTTCTCTTTCCCATATCAACATGGCGCCAACCAGCTCCAGCTCTAACCCACTCCTACTGCTCTGTCCCACAGGGAACTATGGAGCGGGAGAGAGGTAGAAACTCCCATCTCCCATCTGTGTCTGATCTACGCACTAACTTCCTCAGGCATGGAGAGATGGAGGGAGCGAGGGGGGATGGGGCAAAGAAAGCGAGAGATACATTAACAGGGGGATGAGTCACCGAATGGGCTGCTCAGTTTTCATGAGGGGGTTCCACCGTGCCCCCGCCGCACCTCAACTGCGGAATACCAGTCCCTCCATCTCTCTCCATCTCTCTCCATTTCCCCCCTCCCAATCTCTCCCCCATCTTCTCTAGCTCAGATGCTGCAGTGGGATAATCCACCCACTTTCGACTAGATAGGATTGGATTCAGATGGCGGCGCATCACACACGGTATAGGACATACACAGATAGATAGCACGCCACGGACAACCATATTGTCTCTTCTTCTACCTGTCTCTGTCCTTTCTCTTCAATCACACACATCATGTGTCCCAAAAGGCACCCTATTCCGTATGTAGTGCACTATATAATGAATAGGGTGCCATTTGGGAGGCATCCACAGAGTTAACGACTGGAACCTCCAACCACCCCTCTCTCTCGATCTATCTATATCCACTGGCTCTGATGTTGCCTAGAAGTCTCAGCTGTCAATCAAACAGCAGCAGAGGCACCTCACTATGAAGTGCGTAGCCAGCGAACCATCTCAAAGCTTCAAGCTTTTCCTATCTGATTTGGTTTGAATAGGCATTTAGAGCGATGCATGTGTCATAAAAATACTAACCAGAGTTAATGATGCAGTGTTTTACAGTATACGCCAGCAACAAGCAGACAGCCAGCCACAGCCAGACTCAGACAAAATGGAGGGAGAACCCCACAGACACACTGCGGTATACTGCACACATATATGTGAGGGATAAGGTATGTGGGTGCATATGTATTTGTGTGGGTGTTTTAAAGTGTGTTTTTGTGACAGAGAATGTGTATACGATTGATCTTTATCAGTCTATAAGAAGTGTGTGGGAACAGTCAGGCATCAAAAGGAAATTAATTTACCTAATGCAGGGTTTCCAAAACTTCAAAGAGTCAATTCATCATCAAACTTTGATAATTTGAATCAGCTGTGTAGTGCTACGTCAAAAACCATAATGTGCATCCCTTGGGGTCCCCAGGACTGAGTTTGGGAAACGCTGACCTAATGAGTGTGTGTGTGTGTGTGTATGTGTGTTTGTGATCAGGGCTTTACCTAGGAAGGTGTTGGAGATGAACTCGGACACCTGGTTGCCGGAGCGACTCATCTCTGATAGGTGTGTCAGCTCCCGATTCAACATTCTCTTGAACTGGAAAGAAAAGAGGGGGAAAAGGTCAGGATCCTGGAAACAACTGGAAAACCTGGAAGAAAATATGGTGCAGGAAGATTCCATGGAAAAACTTGGTCACTGTTAATTTCTATATTCAAGCTTTATACAAACATTAAACAAAATCTCTAAACAAATCTCTAGACATTACACAGAATCAGTACAAAAGGGAGTTGGAAAATAACAATTACATTGTTTTCATATAACAAATCAAACCCCTTGAGCATCATATTATGCAGTGCAGATTCATCTGGTAAGTTTCACATTCATGGTTTATGGTTCATATTGGGGAAAATCTGCAAATCTGCAGTCTATGAGAAAACCATGCATACGACACAGGTTCTGCATGGGAATGTGGGGAAGCACCACCACTGCAGCAGCATCTGTCTGTGTGTGTTTTTCAGAGAGAGAGATCCCTAGCCCCATCCACAGCAACACTATTCAGTTCTGAAGAGCTGCAGGCAAGATGGAGACTCAGCTCAGCTAGATAACACCAGTTCTGTTCTATCAGACCACACGGCCATCACACTGCAAAGAACACAACCACAACCCAACCACACAGCTCTAGAACACAGAGACCACCAAAATCCTATAACAGCTCAAACACCAAAACCCAAAAGTAACGACAGAGTAATGTAACGTTATCCCGAGCAGCTACGTAAGCTAACGATACAATACACACCTTAATGTAACCCCAAGAAACAGACAACAGGTAGTTCACTTCAGGCATTTTGGACCCCGTTTTTCCCTCCCTACAGGACAGCGAGCCAGCAACAGCCGTAGCAGTACCGTAATCCACCGCGGTAATATAGAGAGAGGCAGATGAACGGGATTCCTCTAGTGCTCAAAAAAATCCCCCTCTTCTCTCCTCTTCTCTGCACCCTTGGTATTGTGGCTCAACGGCTAATAGAACAGCTAGACAAAGATGACTGGTCGCTCTCTCTCTCAGCAGAGGTCTCAGTGAGGGTCTCCATGTCTAGGTAAGAAGAGAGGGGAGCAGGCTAGGTGTTGTAGCCAGGGTAAGGAGCTCCGTCCTGGGCTAGGAGATCCACAGAGCTGGGCAGCAGCTGGAGCTATGGAGTTACAAGCTAGATCTGAGGTAGGGGGGCTCTGAGCACTGATGAATAATAGATGAGGGGAGGAGGGAAGAAACGCTGGGATGGAGAGAGGACTAGGAGAGGAAAAAATAGAAAAGCACTGCGATGCTCATTTGACTAGAGGGGGGGCTTCCTCTGCTATATTAGTCTATCTCCACTGTACTCTCACTGCTGCAGCTCTCTCTCTCTCCCTCCCTCCATTTCTCTCTCTCTGTCTCTCTTGCTCGGTCCCCCCCCCCCCTTCTCTGTCTCTTTTCCCCATGCTTTTAGTCTGCCATCCCCAGCAACATGCTGCACACAGCACACATGATTTGACAGAAAGCGGAGCAAAGCAGAGCAGAGCGGAGGGGGGGAGCCCCCAGCAGCACAGCCCGGCAGTGGGGAGGGGTGGGAATGGGAGCCAGAGATACAGGATACAGGATCTCTCCTCTATCCTTCTCTCCTCTCTTCCCCTCCTCTTCTCTGCAGCCCTGCCACTGCAGATAACCCACTTCCCTCCTCCCTGACATAAGCAAGGATGAGGAAAGCCTCTCTTTCTTATCTCTCTGCCAGAGGACTAGAGACTAGTGCTGTCATTCAGCCATTTTTAATAGAGTATTGAGGGAAGCATGGGGGATGCGTGTGTCACTGGGAGAAATGAGAAGGAAGGGCAATTTTTTTTTATAAATGTGGACAGTGTACACTCTTTTTTCATTTGCTCTCTTTCTATTGCCTGACATCTGTCAGCAGGACCACAGTGGCTGTTCATTATCCACAGCACATAATAACATTAGAGGTTGTCAGGGTGTCTGTGGCAGGCTATTTATACACAACCGTGGAGCAAGAGAAAAGCGAGAGAAAACACCAAAGAGAGAGAATGGTAGATAATTGCATCCTTCACCAATTTGGGTTGACATCAGATCAGCC